TTAACAATTTCCTGGCAGATAGGACACACAAATGATCCACAGTCTCTGGAATAAGTATTTACCTAAATAAGTATTTACTTCCAAATGAAGTTCAAGTTTCTTCCCCTCTTCTTCATCAAAAGGGAAACATTTTTCCTGGTAGTGACTCTACAGTGATGATGCTCAGAGACCCAGACTCACAGATCCATGGACGCATGTTCAGCTCTGGTTTCATCCTGCTGCTAGCACTTCTGCAAGTATAAGTCTTACCATGAGATAGTAAGGAGCAGCAGGGCCACAAAGTGTAGAAACCATGAGATGGACCCAAAGAGACTAATGAAACAGAAGGATATAGGAACTATTATCTTTGGATTAATTTCCATCAGGCCAGGTCTGATGGCTCCATCAGGTCTCTGTATCTGTGCTCCAGATCCTACAGGAATCTGGTCGGCAAGTTCCAAGAAAAAATTAAAGAAAATAGCCTTCCCATATCCAGTATTTGGCAGACCAATCGTAAATGTTACTGACCAAATTTTACCAGGCACAGGACTAGAGGGCCAAAATGCTTGCTTCATGTGTCCCCACAAGAGATGGGTCTCCATCAGTCCTGGAGACCCAGCCACCTGTTACAGCAGAGCTCCCCTGTCTAGCAACTGCAAAGGATATGAAGTGGGTGACCAAATCTGCCCACGCTCTCCATCCTCACTGTGCACTGAGACGGTGAGAGGCAGTTTACAGAGCATGAAACTCGCTCAGACCAAAGGTCAGTCCAACACCTAAGCACCACTTAAGTGCTATTTATGTCCCTGTAGTAGGCATAAGAGGAATAAAAGTGTGTACAGGCTTCCTATGAGAGTGACAGTCATTCACTGGTGAATAGCCTCTCTTCATCTTCAGGGGAAGCTTCCCCTATGAGTTGCACCAGCATCACTTTCAGCCTGCTCACTATGGACAGTCCTGCCACTCTCCTCCTGCAGACCAGGACAATATTAAAGGAAAGAGCACACAGCAAGCCCAACACCCAGTTTGCACTCAAGGAGCAAACCCACAGAGACAGGCAGGTCTTTTCCTATTCTGCTGTCCCTTTGCAGGCTCCAGAAAATGCCATTTGTCACGTTGCCTGGGCATACAGGACCACACAGTGAAAGAGTGCATTAGTGTGCAATCCCCAGAGGAGCAGGGTTGGCACTCCTGAGACAGCCTGAACAGCCATTCTGCAGCTTCTAACTGTGGAGACCCGAGTAAGCATACAGGCTGTTTTCTTGCCTTGATGTCTCTTGAAGGAGGTAAAGTATATGCTTTGAAAAGCATGGAGTCAAAATAAAGCTGTGTTTACATAAATATCCAAAGTCATCTTTGAAGGTGTTTTTTTGCACTATAAAACACAGAAGCAGAGGGAAGAAACAAACCCAATGGGGTACTGGGATAAAAAGAAGCACATGACTCCCATTTGGTTGGTTTATTCTGGCTTCCTTCTGACACAAGTGTCACAAACCCAGTGAAGCACAGTGGTGAATCTGACTCAAGAGATAAGTCTATTGAAGAGTTTCACAGCACTGATAAGAGCTGAACAAGACAGTAAGAGTTCTCTGAGTGCAATTGTAATAGATCTTAAGCAAATAGATGGTTGCTTGTAGAAATGATCATATATGCTGGACTGGGCAGGACACAAATGGGTGAAACTGATAAACAGGCACTGCATGAAGGACTAGCTTTATTTACGGTAGGTCCTTCTGGGAGAAAAAGAAGAGCAAAGTTGCCTAAGTTCAAGAGCAGTATGTGGCCTCTAGAGCAAAAGGAGACTAACAGTGCTGTTAGTAGCCATCCTGTGTAAGTCTGGTTAGCAAAAGCTAGTGAAGAGATGCATTTTTTGTCCTTTGGAGATTTCCCCTCCAATGAAGCAGATACCACTCTCCACATGATTTTTGAAAAAAACCCCAAAATCTTCACAGCGATAAATCGGTTCCTTAAACCCAGTCTGAACCTTCCCCATTCCAGTTTATGACCACTCGTCCTCCTGTCATGAACTTAAGAAAGAGCTTGGCTCCATCTTCTCAGTAACTTCCTCAGCTGTGCAAGTAGGCTTCTGCTAGATCCTCCTGGAGCTGTCTCTTCTCCAGCTAAGGAAGTCCAGCTCCTTCAGCTACTCCTCACAGGAGAAATTCTCCATCTCCTAGTTATCTTGGTGACAACCCCCTTGATGCACTCAGATTTATCCATGTCTTTCTGCTATCAGGCAGCCCAAAACTGGACACTGTATTTGAGACTCAGTTTTATGATTCTCAAGAAAAAGGGGATAATCACTTCCCTGTGTCTATCTACCATGTCACTCCTGCTCCTAGCTGCCTTTGCTACAGGGGCACACCAATGCTCCATGACCCTGGGTGGGTCAGTCCGTCCATCCATCCATCCATCCATCCATCCATCCATCCATCCATCCACTCCAGGGGCAGGAGTTGGGGTTTGTTCATGCTGAATTTCATAAGGTTTCTTACAGCCTGGGCAGATGTCTCTGAAAGGCAGCTCCTACACATTCAAATTTTTTTTTCTGTTGCAAGCACACAGATCTTTCTGAAGATGCATCTACAGATGTGCCTTAATTAATTCTTTGTCACAGCTTCAGATGAACAATACAGAGAACCATTTTTTAAAGACCAGAATGACTCATTAGGACTGCCAAGTTTGTGGAAAAGAGTGTAGTTTAGACACATGCAATTCTTGCCCCAAAGGAGCACAGACTCTGTAGTAAGGTTCATCCATCTTTTCTTTCTGCTTCCTTTCTGAAAAGAGGAAATCATACTCATGAAAATTTCATACTGACATTTTATGGCTGAAATTCCTGGCCTGTTTTAAGAAAAATGCCTGCTGAACAATATCTGGAAAAGTTTGCCCATCTTTGAAGCAAAGGCACTGGCAACTTTGTGCCTATTGTGCACGGTGATGTTTTGCACAGTTCTATGTCAAAAGAACTTCTCAACACATTGCAAGATCCCAGGAGATTTGCTGGATTTAGTAAGAAAATCCAAGTGTATTTATTCCATCCTTCCCATTGTCATGCAGAGTGAGAACAAAGAGGCTGATGTATTATGTTCTGGCTGTTGTATCACCAACAGACTTGGTAGGTGAGAAGTGGCTACAGAATCTCTTGTATGTATCATCTGCAGGAAGAGAAGGTTTCAGCTTGACTCTCTCACTCCAGCAGAAGTTTGTGGTGCTGGCAGTTGGGAAAAAATCCACAGGAAAATAAAAAGCCTTTAAAAAAGTGCCTTTCTGCTGTCAGCCGAGCACAACGATGCCTGAGTCACTGCAACATAGTTAATGAGAAGACAACGGCAAGCTGCTTCCAGAAGCAGTTCTCCAAGCAGAAAAGCCATTTAAATGAGGCAGGACAGAGCAGCCTGCCCACGGCCACCACACACTTTAAACACTCTGTCCTGGCAGGTGGCACCAGATGGCACTCTTACACAAATGCTTCTTTCCACAGGGTCTGCTTGAGAAGGCAGAAGTTGTGTTTAACTATGAAAAGGTACCACCTATATTGGTTAGGGGTTCCCTGACTTATGACCACAGCCCATGTTGCATCTGGTAAAAGGGCTGCTGCCAATACATACTATTTTCATTTTGGTAAAGGAATAAATGGTCTTTGCATAAAGCACTTCCTATCACCATCGCTTCATCCATGCTGGATGTGTAAAGAATTATGGAAAGCACAAAACTCCTAACAACAGGTCTCTCAGATACGAGCAGGCAAGGCAAGCACTCAGTCTTGGGGTGGAGTGCCATTGGAAGGTCTGCCTGAACACTGTGGAGTCTGCTGCCTCTGGTAGAGCCCAGTGGAATCAGTCCTCAAGGCACAGTGCAATCTCGGAAATTAGGAGCTGGCAAGATCTCTGAGGGATGGGACTGCCTCCATAATCTCTTTCCCAGACCTTGTGTGCCTCTGCTTGGTGCAGTGCATTTAATATTTATGCAAATTCTGCATCTCTACCGCCTCCCTTATAAAGGAGGCAACATAAAAGGCTTTAAATATCTCTTGTGTAGCAAAGCAGAAGTGGATTCATCAGAGGATTCGCCCTCTCCCTGTTCCCTGCTCCCACTGCAAGGGTAGCCCTCAGGGACGCTCAGTGCTGCACCGGGAGCACGGGAGGTGCCAGTACTGTGAAAGAGGAGTGACAAGCCATTGCTCAGATCTCTGTCCGGGGCAGGCACACTGTCCCACGGCTGCAGCCGCTCAGAGGCTGGCGGAGCCTCGCGTTTAGGGAGTGCTCTGCTGCCCAGCGCAGGACACCCTCGCTCCAAACCACTTCTGGGGTGGGGTCCTTCCCACTTCTGCCTCAGGGCTGGGTCCTGCCTGGCAGAGGGGCTGCAGGATCCCATGGAAACTCCCATGGAGAGCTCGGGCTCTACAGCAAAGAGTCTGTGCGTGTTCTCAGGGAGAGCTGCTGGACTGAGAGCTCGCCTGACTCCTGGGAGAAACTGGGCAGTTTCCCTAGAGGTGAACAATGCCCCTTTGGTTCCCTGAGACTGGCAACACATTTTCCTCCCTAGTCACTCTTCCCCCTCACCCTTCTCTCCAAAGTAAATCAGTCCAGCCAAAGCGCCAAGCGGTAGATGCTTCATCCCAAATGCCACTCTGAGGAAAAGTTACAGGCAAAGGAGAGAGGAGGCGCTGAGCCCAAAGCTCTCCCGACGGCAACCGGCCGTGCCTCCGGTGCTGCTCGACCTCATACACGGCAGGTCGCACGTTCCCCGCCTGGCACCGCACACTTCTCCCCCGCCATCAGGCTCATGAAACCATAGTGTACAACAGCCCTGAGATTCCCCGGCGGGGTCTCCTCGGGGTAACAGCGGCCGGGCCAGTCTAGCGGGGAGCTGGTCGTGTGCGACGGCGGGCACCCGGCTACCTGCATCTCCGGGGCACCCCGGGGCCGGGCGGGGACCGAGGAGAGCCCGCCGCCGTGTCCCGTCGCCGCTGCCGGGGCCAGCCCGCCGGAGCGGCGGTGCTGCCGGCGGTCCCTTACCACATTGCTGAGAAAGTCCGCCTCGCTGAAGTCGCCGAAGTCGAGGAAGCCTGTGCCGGCGGCGGGGAAGAGCCGCTCGGCGGGGAAGGGCTCCAGGATACTGTCCATGGTGCCCGCGGCGCCGGGGCTCGGCCGCCCCCCGCGCTCGGCCGGCCGGGCTCACTGCGGCCGCACGCTCCCGCCCGCCCCCCG